AAGAAACATATAGACTGCTATGTTTTGTGAAGTATATCTACCTGAAGAGCATAAACATGTTGTTCAAATCCACAGCAATTTAGACCCAGAAGGTGTGAGCAAGTCATTGTTTGTAGGTGTAGCAGTTAAACATATGTAGAAAAAATTCCTAAATGTTGTGTAATGACTTAGTCTTCGTATATAGGACGCTTGGAATTGCTGGAATTTCAGTGTGTGCTGAAAATTGTCTTGGTGTGTTTTGTTGATGCCTTTAAACTTCAACGTGTGCTCAGTACTGAGCATGTACTCAGGTTGTAGTTGGGCTTTGTAGGTGTTAGGAACTTCTAAAAATCCTTGTTCTTGACCAAAATGTATTATGTGTTTATGTAGCTACTACAGTGCTTTTATAAAAAGATAGCTGTGACTACAAGCACGTTTCTCAAGGGTGATGATGAAGTGTTAATAGTAAATGAAATTATTTTACGGGATGCTAAATTTTGCCAGCATGTAAATCTTCCTTTAATGTGTTACAGACTAATCGCTGTCTTTGGTGCCATCTAGTGTTTTTTTAATTCACACAAACCACAGATAGAGATTTCAGGGGGAAGTTGCCATATTTTCTTGTCGTTTGTCTTTCTTTGCTAGTCTTGATCCACTTTTTCCCTATGAATCTTAAAAATACAACTGCAAAATTCCATAAATCTTTATCACCTCCCTTCATTTGATTATATCCTAATGTATATTCATATATGACAAACAAGCTCAGCTCAGCTGAAAACTTTTCTTGTGTGTCAGTATGTTCTGTGTAACAAGCATTTTGTGACGTCTTGCATGCTGTTACCAGGGAAGACTTGTTGATTTTCTCATTCTAGCAATTGAGTCTCCATGATTACATCTTCATGCTTTAAGAATTTGCTTTGTTAGTCTTCTAACTTGCTTTGGTAGGTGGAGGAGAATTAATCACATAGGGTGGCAGGGTGTTGGCAATCTTCCACGTAAGGTGTTGGCAATCTTCTACATATTCTTAGGGAATCATAGAATTGTTGGAGTTGGACCAGATGACCTTGAATGGTTCCTTTCAACTCCTCTGCAGTGAACAGTGACACCTACAGCCTGGTCAGGTTGCATCCAGCCTGTCCTTGCATGTCTCCAGGGATAGGGCATCCATCACCTCCCTGGGCAACCTGTTTCAGTACTTCAGTACCGTTATAATAAAAAACTTCTTCCTTATATCCAATCTAAACCTCTCCTCTTTTAGTTTGAAACCAAGTTGTAACTTTGGGATATAATGTTGTTCAGAATTTCTGTGGCTGACTGAAATTTCCTTAGCCTTTAAGAGATGTTAGCCGTCTTGCCCATGTGTATCAGAAACCTCTAGCAAATACAAGTCTGCTACTAGTTGTGCACGTGAAAATGGCAGATAGTTTAAAGTCATAGTTAGCTGTTCTTATTTCTTGATTCTTGGATCTGTTTTCATAAACAGTATGAGAACATATCACTTCAGCTTTAATACTTTATATTCTTTGGTAATTAAAATGAATATGATATTTGCTTTTATTTAATCAGGGAGTTTACCATTTTAATAACAAATCAGAAATTTGACATCAATATTTATGAACTGTAAAGAATGAATCATAATTTGTTCTAAGGAATCACTTTCATCTGTCATGTAAACACGCACTTACGTAACTTTATAAAAGTATCCTGTTACTTTTTCAGGTCCAGTATGATCTGCTGTAGTATTAGCTAAATTTCCTATTAGTGAGCAATACTGGAAGGACAATTCTGGAAGCAACCTGGTTTAATCTACAACTTTGATTATTTTAAGACGTACACAGACTCTGAAAAAGCTTATACTGCTCTCCTTCAGTAGCTCATTTCTAATTTAGAGAAAACAAGATCAGAATTTTTGCATGCATGCCTTTTGGGGACAGTTCTTTTGGTGTTGAGGTTGGCTTTTGTCATCCTCAGATTTCTAGGTACTGGGTGACAGCTGTTCTCTATGCTGAAAGATAGTAGTAAGACAAAGTCTTCTGTCACTCTATGTTAGAAGATGAAATGTTATTCCTTCAAAGAATCCAGATGCTTGATTTGGCTTGGGAACTTAAAAAATAATAATAAAAAAAAAAAAATAGAATTTTTGATGAAGGAGAAGACATGAAAATGGTCACTTATGAATCCATTTTATACTTGCTCATATTGGTGGTCATCACTTCCTTTTTTTCTTTCTCCCTACTTCTAAAAAAAATAGAATTTAAGCTTCAGGAAAATGTCTTTCATTTCTGCTTTCAACTTTACTAATACTAATATATGGATATTAATATTACTCAAGCAAACACATACATCAGATGTTAACTCTGTTTTAATCTCAGCTGTTCCTCTGTGTATTAGAGGTGCTTCGTTTAGTGTTTATTAAGATAAAAAGCAGTATATCCTGACTTAGTTTTCCATTGTGTAGCAATACTGAAATACTTATCAATAAATGCTTTAGGCACTTCTCAAGTACAGTGCAAAAAAGGGGGAGAGGGAATATTAGAAGAAAATACTTTGCCTTCACAATACCCTTTTGGGAAGAGAAACATATAGAAAGGAATGAGATAAGCATGAATGTTCAGGGTTTTAAACAAACAAAAAAAATTAAAAAAAAATCAAAGTTGCCACCAGGAGGAGCACTACTAAAATATTGCTATTACAGGCACAGTAATCTGCAGTAACAGCCTGTCTGGTGCTGTATTTGTAAACTGTCTTTCTGTAGGAGTTTCCTAAGCTTTTAAGGGTACGGCGCTTCACAGAGTGTTTTAGCATGCAGCTTAGAAATGAAATTTAAGAACTTCAACATTTTTACAAAGTATAACGTGGAAAACTACAATTCTTTTGACATTTGACAGTTTATTCAAATCTGCTCTGTATCCTGGTTTCAGCGTACTGTGTTGTTGGCTGGATTCTGAATCAAAGTGAGATCTGTTTGTGTGCCTCTGGGCCGAGACATAAGAGAACTATTTGTGGGAGGTGGTCTATTGGTACTCTTACTAAATGTGGTTCTCCATACCTACTTTGACCACTCATTTGGAAACAGGCACTCACACAGTGTACCTGGTTCTTGCAATTAGATTTGTGCTGCAGGCAAGTTGTCTGCCATGTCAGGGAATAACAAGAAGGAAAAGAGCTAGTTCAGTAAGAAATAAAAATGGCCAGAACTGGAGAGTTGAGTAACTGGAGTTCTTTCTTTTTGCACTCCTTATAGGTTTCTCCATAGTTAAAATATGAACTATATTAAAACAACACAGATTTGAGCAAAAGGAAAAATTAGTTTGTGGGTGAAATCTTGTTTTAATGTTCTGTGTAACAACAAGCACGTTACTTGTAATTGGCACATAGCATTATATAATACTTTTGTGATGTGAGCTGTGTAGCTGGAAGATTTTCCTAACCAGAGATATTTTGTATCAGGATGTAGTTAAGGTTCTTTTACAGAAGAGAAAAAATATGTATACATACTCATACATGACTGTTTTCAGTTGGACTTGGAAGTTTATAAAATTAGTGAAAGTAGTATCTATATGTAAAATTTTAAAATTTGGCATACAGTGTCTTCACACTGGTGGGTATTATTTCTTGTTTAATCAGTGGGAGGAACATTAAAAATGTACTCATGTAGAAAATGCTTCTATACATTCATGAAGTGCTGTGTTATTGTGCATATCATTGAAATCAAACTGCAAAAATGAGTGGCATTTCCCAATAGTATTTTCAAATATTGATATTACATATAAAGTTAATAATTAATTAACTGGATTGTCATTATTTCTCTGTTTTACATTCCTGGCACATTGATTCAAAATCATAGAATCATAGAATGGGCTGGAAGGGACATTTAAGATTATCTAGTTCCAATCCCCTGCTATAGGCAAGGACACCTCCCATTAAACCAGGTTGCCCACAGCCCATCCAGCCTGGTCTTGAATGCTTTCAGGTGGGGGCATTCACCACCTTGCTGGGCAACCTGTTCCAGTGTCTCACCACCCTCACAGTAAAGAATTTCTTCCTAATATCTAGCCTAAATCTGCCCTCTTCCGGTTTAAAACAATTTCCCCCGTCCTATCACCACATGCCCTTCTAAAAAGTCCCTCCTCAACTTTCTTGTAGGCTCCCCTCGGGTACTGGAAGGCTGTTATAAGGTTCCTCCGGAGCCTTCTCTTTTCCAGGCTGAAGAGCCCCAGCTCTCTCAGCCTGTACCTGTAAGGGAATTGCTGCAGCCCTCTGATCATCTTTGCGGCCCTCCTCTGCACTTGCTCCAACAGCTCCATGTCCTTCTCCTGTTGGGGGCCCAAGAATTGGACGCAGTACTTCAGGTGTGGTCTCATGAGAGCAGAGTAGAGGGGCAGAATCACCTCTGTTGACCTGCTGGTCACACTTCTCTTGATACAACCCAGGATATGGTTGGCTTTCTGGGCTGCAAGCACACGCTGACAGCTCATGTTGAGTCTTCCATCAACCAGCACTCCCAGATCCATCTCCTTGGGATTGCTCTCAAGCTGTTCTCCACCCAACCTGTATTTGTGCTTTGGATTGCCCCTCTTCATGATGTTCTGTCAAAACAGTATTGTCAAGATACTAGATGCAAAACATGTTATTTAGATGAGGGTGAAACCCTTGGTGATGATCTATTACAGACCAACCAAACAAAATGTGTTACTGATTTTCAGTCCCGGAGAAGCATGCGGAGTCCATAAGATCAGTGAGATATTCAAAGCTGGGTGCAAAAGTGAGTATGTGGGTCATATTTCTGGTAAATCGATGTTGCTGTACAGCTGGCAGATGGGATAAAGTTTTTTCTTCTACTTTTATAGGGTACCTTTTTGTTTCGTGTTTTTTAGTATTATTAAGCCTGCTAATCTAGCAGTATAGCTAGGTCGTGTGAAGACATAAAAAAAAAAACAATGAATAAGCGTCTAAATTATCGCTTCTTAACTTGTTTTTCTGAAATGCTCAGCTGCATTCTGACCAGTGTTTCTTGACAGGATGAAGATGAGCTGGACTCGCACACCATGGTGAAGACCAATTCAGAGAGTGCTAGTACCATGCGGGCCACAAGCACGATGAGTGAAGGCGCTCAGACAATGATTGAACACAACAGTACCATGCTAGAGTCAGACCTGGGGACCATGGTAATAAATAGTGACGATGACGAAGAGGAAGATGGGACCATGAAAAGTATGGGTTTTTTTATTACTTTCCTTTTCTGTTAATAATGCATTATCTCATCTTCTGTGAGAACATTCTATCATCAGTGTCCTTTAAGTATCAAGCTCAGTGGTTAAAAGTCAGGGAGAGGGCTGTTTGTTTCTGTGAATGCACTTTGTTGGAAAAGGGCAGCTATAGTGGGAGATTCGAAGCACTACAAGTAGCTTTGGTATTTTGCTGAGCCTTTCTGGAGGACTCAGAAATTAGCCTACTGTGAATTCCCTGTCACTTGCTTTTTGCCTCCTGTCTGCATCCGTTTGGAGCAGCTCCATGGAACTGTACTCAAGTGGTGCGACTGAGTGGGAAGGTGCTGTTTCAGTGTCAGTGTTCCTGGAAACTCATTGCAACTCTCCATGGATTCAGCAGTCAGTACTGCAGATCTTGCTGCAAAATTATTTTGTAAAGTCATTTGTTAAAATTTCATTTAGTAATGCTTAATTTAAGGGAATGGCCATAACACATTGAAATAAAAAGTCAAAATCAACTTCAGTGGTGTGAAAGATTATATAACAAAGAGAGGAAAAGAGTGTTTTAAAAGAGGAAGTTGTCAGTTAGACTGAGACGTGTATAATGTGTTTGTTATACAGTGAGCATACATGTTTACTTTTGATCTGTTTGTTACTTGGCTGGAGACTTCCCACTGAATTTAAGTTTATCCATTCATTTTAAAGGGCAGCATCAATAGGTGATACTGTAGCTTTAGTGCTTGATTCTGTGAGACAAAATATAATGCTTAACTCCAGGCTATTGTTTAAATAAATTTGTGAATAATTTATATCCAAAAAGATTGCATTTCTGTTTGTGTGCAAAAGCCTGTTGTAATTTGGTTGGAAAGATTATTTGGAAGTGTAGATCAGGTGCATTTAAACCTTGTGGTTGAATGTACAGCAAACTGGGAGGAGAGGAAGATCTGCTCATTTCTGCTTTTTCTTCCCTGTTATTTTTTTTTCTGTTGTTGTTGACCTTTTTTCTTCAGTGTTCTTATCAATAAGGATATAAACCTGTTGATTAGTATTTAAATTAAGCAGAATGGTTCACTTCATGTAAACAGTGCATGCTTTAATTTGTTCTCATGTTGATACAGTATTTACCTGTTAAACTGTGAGGGTAAGGGGGGGTTAGAACAAGTGATCTTAAACTAACACATTTCAACAAGTTAAGGAATGGAGTAGTGATAGTAAATACTTGTTATTATATAATTTTATAAGATATTATAAGCAAATAAAATAATTCCTATGATGAGATTATTATGAAGCAGGGGACTTTGGCAGTTTCTATGCAGCCTTTCAAATCACATAAGTTTTAGTAACTATCCATGCCATTTTACTATGTGCTGAGGGGGAATATCTGTTAGTATGCCAAACCAATTTTAAAAAAATGCCTTTCCATTTGCACTGCAATCTCTTATCCTTTTAGTTTCTTACGTTGCTGAGAGTTAAAAAAAGAAATAAACGAAAGAATCAAATTGAATTGCTTTTGGTAGCAATTCCTGTTAAGAAAGGGAATTGCCTTTTTGTACCTTGAGGGTTAATTAGTGTAGTTATTAAGCTTGCTCTTACATCTCATGAAACAGAAGAATGTAATCTCTGAGACAGCAGGCTTTCTCCCCTTCCTTCCCTGTAGCTGACTCTCTTGGTACCTGTAACAGTAAGGAAGGAAAGTCGGCACTCTGGAAACAACTTGATGGCAAGTGATGGTTTCCTCATCCATCTGATAGGGGCAGGTTTGGGTTCCTGCACTTGCAGGACTGACTGTGTTTTGCATTAGATGTCCAATGCTTAAAAGTTAAAAGTAATTCAAGAATAGGGCACCCACATCTCTCAGCTGTAGATAAATATTAACCATGTCTAATTTAGCTGCTTTTCCTTTGCTTCTGTGATTCATATAGACTGGAGCAGGAGCAATAGCAGGTCACTAAAGCAATGTCACTGGGAATGTGACAGTGTGCAAATCATTGCTCTCCCTGAGAGAGGACCCAGATTTGTGCTCTTTTGTGCTTGACAGTGATACAAGATTTCTGTGTTTGCTTTTTCCAGCGTACCCTTATAGGCAAAGTGGGCACAGTGGGCTTTTCATAGTTGTTTGCATAACTCAATACAGCAGAACAGGTAGCTTGAAAGTGCTCTTCAATACTTCTGAATAACAAAACATTTGCAAGCAGTGTGGATAAATAAACTTAGTTAACTAGGGAGAGGGACTTGATTTCCTTCCTAGAGACGCAAAATACTTATGACAAATGTTTTTGTAATGCTTTTGTGTTTAGTTTCGCATTTGTTTCCCTCTGTCTTTTGTTCCTCTGCTCAAGAACAAAATAAGAAACAATAATAATTTTTTTATAAGTGCCCATGCTTAGAAGCCTCTGGGAGCCATGACAGAAAATAATTAAAAACATGCATGTATTTTTTTCACAAATACTGGGTTGTGCCCAAATAAAACAGGGATTTGGAACAAAGAGGTCTGTTATCCTACCCTAACATACCACATACAGCCTAGCAATAAATAACATTTATGCTTTCCTATTTCGTGTGCCTGTGTGTGCTGTGAGCAGAGATGATGCAGTATGTACCTAACAGAAGGAAACACAATGCAGAGTACAGAGATGCAGGTGGACGGAGTTAAATTTGGGCAGTTTAACATCGAGTCAAAGAAAGATTGGGATTGATGGCAGGTAGCACTACCAGTTACATATCCAGTGTAAGAATTTGAAAGCAGAATTCATGAGTTGATTTTATTAATTAATTTCTTAGTGATTAAAATCCATCCTGTTTAAGAGCTGTTAGTGCCATAGAAGTCAATCTTTGTAACAGGAGCTGACCACTTGGTTAAGTGAAGTACATACTTATGAGTATGGTCCCACAGTTGCTTTTTAACTTAAAAGAAAAAGCTGTTTGTAAGTTTTTTTTGTTTCATCTTCAATAACCACCTATGACCCAGCACTTCTTAACAGCCTCGCCATGGGCTAGACTCATGTACCTCCTGTACTTGTCTACCTCTGTAGATGTGAACAAGTTTCCACATAACAATTTCTTGGGCAGATGCATTTATTAGATAATGCAGAATAGTGTGTAGTCAGTGTTATGAGAGGAATTCATAGTATAAACTAAAGTCTCAGAGGTAGTTCTTTTCAATCAAGCCTTCATTATAAGATGTTTCTGAATTGGGAAAGTTTTCTGTTATACACTTATTTCTCATAGTTAAGAAATAGCTCACTCTCATTTACAAGAATGAATGACTGTTGCATTTATGGTGAGGGCTCATAACATCTGTCTCATTCTCTACTGTGGAGTTTTAGCACTTTTGGAAAATCCTGTCAAGAGATGTCAGTGTAATACCCCTCTGCATTCCTATAGTAACAGAAAAGAATAGCTGTGCTAATAGAAGTTAGTAAGGCGTGACTTTTTTCCTGTAGCACTGTTAGTTATCCCATGTTGGTTTCTCAAATGTTCTCATAAATGGCTTTTAAAATTACTCAACAACCTAATTCAGACAATACCTCTCTAATTATCTCTTTAGTGCTTCACTTACTATCTCTGGAGAATTATCTCATCTGTAAAAGAGGCTCTTTGGATCTTTAAATATCTCTCTTGCATTTTAAAAACAAATCTTAAAAATTGTCTTCCTTTTTTTGGCAATTAGGATGTCTTAGTTTGAATGGAGTAATTATGAATTTATAAGAACCCAGCAAAGAAGCTTAATTATGGGTTGATTTCAGCAGTACTTTAGCCTGGGCATTGGTATTTCATTGATGTAGTTTTGTTCAAGCGAGAGAAAAAGATGATAAATGTCTCTGTGCTTGCTGGAGACCTCCTCTGTAATTGATAATTAAGTTGCTCGTTTATTCCATTAGTGGGAGTAGGTTTTACAAATGGGATCTTTCTGAAAGAAAAAACAGTGTTGGCAATTCAGGATCTGTTGGATCTGTCAAGATCATGTTGGATCAAGAACTGTTGCAAAATGTTGGCTTAACATGTATTTTGTTTTACAGAAAGCAGAAATAAAGTTTCACTCAGCTGGAGCAGAGTAGTGAGTTTATAGCAGGACTTTCATTTAATTTTTTTCCCCTTTCTCCAGAAGGTGGAAAAAATAGATCTGAAGTTATTAAAGTAATTTTACAAGTCCCATTCTCAGGTAGAAAAGAAATATTTTGTGCAGAAAACTTTTTCCATATAAAGCTTTTAAACTTGAGTTCATAGACTCTTCAAAAAATCTGAAGGCTTTCTATGGTTGAAAAGTACCTGAGTTTTCCACTTAAATACCAGTTGCAATTACTGAGTACAAAGTATAGTGTAAAGCAAATAAAAATCTTCTTTTAGATGATGGAATTCTAAATAGTTTAAGAAATGACAGTTTTATACTTTCATTTTTTCCCCTTAGCTGTCTGCCCTATATACTGAATGAGACTTGGCTTGGGTATGCAAGTCACTGGTATGAAAACTGCAAAATCAGTAATGACTACTTTGTTAGGTATGTGTTTGCAGTCAGACATTCCCTAGATGCATTTCTTAGTTCTCTGGTAGACTCCCAGCTGCCGTGGTCTAAGCAAATGGTGGTCAAGTAGATGGAGATTGCCAGCATAGGGAAGGCTAAGAAACTTGTGGCTTTAGGCAAAAACAGAAAGCTTTCCTCTGTAGATTTGCAAACAAAAGAAACAGGAAATTGTTAGAGACACTTCCCTAAGAGATGTAGGCTCCTGTCTGCTGGGAAGGAACTTGTTCTGCACCTGCAGATTGTGATGCAAACCACCTGGACAGGTGTAGGAGGTGGAACAGGCCTTGAAACTACTTGAGGAAGTCTCTGGAGTACAGACCTTATTGGTTTGGTTTTGTTTTAATGTAGGAGTATTGGAGTCCAATAGACTCTGATCAGGTTCTTGTCTAATGTTTAATAGCAGTTTTACTTATTTGAAGATATTTGATGTTATGTGGGACTTTTGATTTAGAATTGATACAAAATATGCTGAAATCATAATGCAGATGTGAGTTACGCTCATCCAAACATTGGAATAGCTGTGTGTAGTTCATTGAGAGTAACAAGATGATCACCATTACTGTGTTTCTGTTTTACACTCACTCTCTTGACACTAGATGTCCCCAGTTGCTGGGAAGGATTACATGGGTTACAGGCAGCTCAAGCTAGAGATGCTGTCTTTGAAGTTAGTTTGTTGTTCAGTTTTAAAGTCAGTGGTGGCCTGAGATACGTACATAGCCAGAGCAGTAGGGAAGGAGTATATAACTTGGGGAGGTATACAGTGTTTAATGAACTCAGGGACAAATATTTACATCACCAGCTGTCTTAACTGTTCACCCGAAACAAAAATTAGTCTTCTCTTTGTGTTGAGATGAAGTTAGGGGGTTTTTTTGCAACAAAAAATTGTTTTTTTTTTTGCAACAAAAAAACTGCGATTGTACCCTATGCTACTTCCTGCAGCTTCAGAGTGTGATGAAACCCTACATTTTTCCCTTAACATTGTGGGCACATTGCCCTTGCCCATCGTCTGAATATTCTCCCACTGCAGGGGATTAGTGGTCAGTCACAGGGATTTACACCTTCCTAACATCAGCTGGAAGGGGCACCTCAGTGAAATGCAAGAAATTCGGGAGTCTCCTGAAGGGCATCCGAGATCATTTTGTGATACTCATACTGGATTAACTGAAGAGGGGTAATGCACAGCTGATTTACTATTCACAAGCAAGGTACAACTGGTTGGGAGTGATAGTCAATGGCAACTTGGCTGTAGCGACCATAAGATGGAGAAGTTGAAGAACTTGAGTGAGAAAAACAGTTAGGTATAGATCCTGAATTTCAGGGGAACAGATCTTCACTTACTGTATTATTCGTAGACAGTAATAATAGTTTATTGAAGGGATTCTAAAGGAATTTAAAATCAATTTAATGTTAATATCTCACTGTTGGAAATATATCACTATGAAGACATTTTTCTTTATAGATGACATCAATTGAATTTGATCAGAAATTGCATTAGAGTGGAATGTGTATTCTTTCTTACTTTGAAATGCCTATTTAGAATTAGTTTTCCCTGTCAGAATTCTTTCAGTTTCAGCATGTTTCTAAGACCAACAGATTGCTCCAATAATGTGGTACTTCAGTGTTTCTAACAGAGACACTGTTAATCTTATTTACAAGTATGTTTTAAGGATGAAACTCACAGCGATCTCTGCATAAGAAAGAACTGAAACATGAAAAGTCCTCAGTGTGGTGTCCTACCTTTTTGATACAAATACTTTCATGCATTTGTAGCAGTATTTGGCAAGTAATAAATAAATAGGAATTCTAATAATAAATATTTTGTCAAGAAAGTGCTTTGTATTCTGTTTTTATCCCCTTTACCTCCCTACAGATTATACTTTCTCTTGAATCTGTTTTCTGAATTTATGCTTTGCTGAAATATAGATTCTTCCATTTTTGCCCATGAGTACTTATTTCTGTATTGTTTGGCATTCCTGCTGTTTCCTCCTTATCCTATCCACTGCTCCTTAGTCCAGTGATCCATAAACCTCATTCAGGCAATCTGGGCATGCCCGAGAGCTTCTGGAGAATGGTAACTGCTGTGCAGTCTGCTAAATTCAAGCTGGAGTTTAGTTCCCGGAGTATTTTTGTATAGGAAATTGCCATAAAGTAAAATAAAATAGAAAATAGTGAGTAGAAAAAACTGAGGTGTAGGATCAGAGAAGAATATGGTAGCAACTGAAAGAAAATGTGGTTAAAATGGGGGGGGTTGGGGGGACAAATGGGATTTGTATGGAAATGTAGCAGACTGAATGGAAGAATCATCACGGGGTGGAAGAGTAGCAACTGGGCTCTGTGCAGTAAACTCTAGGACAAAAGGCAAGGCAGAAAAAACACATTCAGAAACCCAGGAGAAACTGTACTGGCAGAAATGAAAGGATAAATCAACATGCCATGAAAAAGAGCAGCACCGAAATGGATTAATGAAAAAGGATTGCTATTCATCATGCAGCAAAATTAGATTGAATATTAAAGCCCCATACAGAGGGAATGGGTTATCGCAGGAAAAGATGATGAGACAAGAGGTGAAAGTGGAGGAATAAACATCTGATGAATTAATGAAAACAAAAGTAAGGCCAAATGTGCAGATAAGCAAGTCCCAGTGCTTGTGCTAAAAACTAGCTCAAAAATAGTCTGCCAGTGTTATTCCTTTTCTCTTTTTAAAACAAGTAGTTCATATTAAAATTCCTAATCCTTTTATTATGCTTATAATTAAAGGGCATAGTCCTCCCTGCATTTTTTCAACTTGGTTATTTATATTTTCCTTCCTGTTTTGTATTTTACTTGTAAATACATATTTAATTTCACTCTATGTAGAGAGGATTATACTGTAAGCAAGTATGCATTTCATGAATCATAATGCTATGCAGAATATAGTCTCTGAGGAGACAGCTATGTAGAACTACTAAAACATTTCTTATGTTTTATTTATTGTTCTGTTTATTAATGAACGTATTTTGAAATCCCACAAATGAAAACAAATCCAAATCATTTAGGGTTGTAGATAAATATATATTTTTTAGTTTATTTTCATGAAAAGGATAACAGACCGGGGGCTCACACTGGTCTTGATCTGCTTCATAAAGCTCTTGCAGCTGTGTAGCCGATGACAAAAATCCTGCAGTGTTTCCACACCATAAAGATGGGTGCTTTACAGCCGTCTGGAAAGTGTGATCCCATGATATGCTAAGAATGACAAACTGGCAATAAGTTTGATTAAGCAGCATTTAGACACCGTTTGTGTGGCTGTTTTTTGCAAGTTCTTCTAAATCGAAGTCCCACCTTTTGTGAAACTACAGTATTCTGCACAGTATTCTGTTACTTTACTACAAGTGCATGTGGACTAGGCCTTAAAGTTAAGGGCATTCAGCACCCAGAGGGATGCTTAGCACCTTGTGTTATTCAGTTTCTATAACAACAAATAGATATCACATGAAGTAACTTCTAATATTATCAGTGTGTGCAGCTCTGAAATGTCTTGAGCATTTCTCCACATTGCATCTTGCTACAAGTATATCGCACTTCGGCTATGAGCTTTTATGCCAGAGATCCTCAGGGGACAAATGGAGGCTTGCACCACACACAGATGACTGTGTTAGACTCTGTAAACTCCAAGAAACTTAGTAAATTGAGTTAATTTTATACTACAGTAAACCTTACTTCTTTAAATTATTTCATCTTATTTTCTTTATTTCTTTCAACCAAGGAAATGCTACTTCACCTCAAGTACAAAGACCTTCTTTCATGGACTACTTTGATAAACAAGATTCTAAGAATAAAAGCCCTGAAAACTGTAATCAGAATATCCATGAACCTTACCACATATCTAAAAATGTTTTCCCCGATAACTGGAAAGTCCCTCAAGATGGAGATTTTGATTTTGTAAGTACATTTTTATTGTTTGCTTTGGTACGTGCTGTTTATTTTATAGGTGCCAAAATAGTTATTCTTGTTTTATAACTATGTTAATACAAGGAAAATAAGTAATCTTTCAAGAATACTATCCAATTATCTAATCTTCAGATCTCATATTGGCTGTGCAATAAGTGTATTTGTGGAACTGGGGACCTTCCTAATACATGGTGCTATATGACACTATAAATAAACTTCTTTAAAAAAGAAGTACAGGTTTTTTAGTAAAAAATATTTTTGATTCTACAACTTGTGTTATAAAAACTTTCAAATTTCTATTTAAATTTCTATTTCTAACAGTTCTATTTAAAAATATTGCTACAGGTGTGAAATATTGTCATGTTTTGTGAATATCTCAGTGAGACAATAAGCATTTGAACATAGGTAGAGACATCAAGTCCATCTGTTCTGAGGTGGTCAAGATTACTTACTATTTTGCATGAGCCAAGTTGTTGATGCTATTCCAATAACAAGTACCTCTCTTCATGGAATTTTTGTATTTAACACCAGAGTATCTATTTAAGGGCATTTTTTCCTTCCCGTCCAAAATATGGTTTTTTTTTTTTGTTTGGTTTGTGGTTCTTTGTTGGTTGCTTTTTTTTCCCCTATGTTACAAATTATAACACAAGCAAAAAAAGAAAAAGAAAAAAAAAAAAAGCTATCTTTAAGTACACCTTAATTTTAGGATACTCTCAAAATAGTGTAAGTATCTCCTGTTTAGAAAGTTGGCGATAATTACACCTGTTTTTTGACTTTTCTTACATTTTTTTTCTTATATTTTTTAGCATTGTTAAAGAAAGAATTTAGTTTATCTGCTGTAATTTATACATGTTCTTCACTGCAGTGCAGTAGCTAACTGTGATCACATGGCACCTTTTTGAAAGTACACTTGGGGTTTGGAGAAAAACATTGTGTTTAATTTTAGGTGACAGCTGTAGGTGTGGGATTTTTTTTCCAGTTTTCACTTACTGCATCTCTACATAAAGCTGACTCCTTAAATTTTAAGCTACTGGAGTAAAGCCAGTTAAACAGCACAGTACAAGCTGTTGCTGCCAGAGAGTTTTGATTGAGTTAGATTTTAGTTTGGGTGGGCTTTTTAGGCTTTTCTTTAAACCCTAAAATGTAATATTCATCTTCTTGATAATTGAACAAAACAATTTCTTTCTTTAGTCATTGGAAAGTGACTGTTCTCTAAGTGGCAATAAAATTGCCCTTTGAACAATTGAAAATTTATTCTGTCTTTTCCATCACTTACTGAGAAATGCAAATATAAATGATTTTTTTGTAGATGCTGATCCTGATTTTGTAAGTGCTTATCATGAATAATTTGCACATGAGTAATCTTCATAATAGCTCGTTGGTATTGCTCATATATGCAAGTTTTCTTGTAGTAAGTTTGTCCTAGAACCATGCCCCGAGGAGCTCTTATTTTCAGAAGTATGTGTGTAGTGTGTGATAGGCAGACATTGCTGGTAGTTTTAGTATGAGTGGCACATGAAGGACCTCAGAAGCTGTACAATGTGTGATTTGTCCTTGACTCTCTGAAGAGGCAGGCAGCGCTGAAAGGCTCGTCACTACAAAATTATTCTGATATTGGAACAAATAGTGTAATAACTGTTTGCAAGGGCAAAGTATGTACTCAGTCTTGGAGGGATTTTGTTTTAAACGTAACAAAAGCCAAATACTTCCATAGGTAAGTCAGCCTAAGGAAGAGTTCAGGAAGACTCATCAATAATGGATGTCCTGCTTCAGAGCAGACCACTAACGAATATGTTTCTCTGAAGCATGTGTTGCCAGGTGATGTCACACAGCACACTGGTTTTAACAGCCTGCTGGTTTGAACCATAGGCAAATATTATTTATTCATACATTCTAGAAGGACTTCTATTTATCTTTTAGACAGTGAGTGGCATTATTGATAAGCGACCTACGAGAGACTTTCTGAAAGGCTAAATCAGTGGGCAGCATGCATAATATATTGTCCACTTTTTGTCAGATGAACATGAATGTTTGCTGTTGCTGGCATAAAGTCTCTAAATGATTCATTGAAAGGATAAATAATGGAAACTTTTCCTAGTAAATATTTCTCTTTTGGTTGGAATTATCCTTAATGGGATCTAGGAAGGGATCCTGACATTAGATGCTTGCAGTCATCATTTTATTTAAAGAAGGGATTAATACATTAGGATGAAGGTCTAAATGAAAAAAATCAAGCTTAATGCTAATACACTTTCCTGCAATTCTGTCTTCCTATGAGGAAGGGGAGGTGAGCTCTATAAGCTGGAGATCATCAAACTTGTATGCTGGATGGCACCATTACTCTAAGAAAGCTTTCTTAACCACGTGGTCATGCGAGCCACGCACAGCACGCCACTGCTGGCTTTACCTGCTAGCCCTGGCAGACTGACAGTGCCGTGCTGAGAACAGCTATTTGAGTGTATCACTTGGAAAGACTTCAAAGTTAATTAGCGTGCGGGTCTCCTGTGGCATAAAATGGAGAAGGAAAACTACCGTTGAGAAATTGGTGGGAGACTCGAGGTAAAAGGAAGAAGGAATAATCCTTATAGTTCCCTGCAAATAATTGATTTACTCATCTGTGTGTGTAAGATGAGACCTGAGGAGATAATATTTCAGGCCAAAGGATATATTTGTGTTAGTTGTCAGTTCTATTTTATCCTATTACTGATGTATTTTACTGTTTGATAAAATAAGAAATGGTTATTTAATTTTGTTTAAATAGACATGTAATGCAGATATAATGGCCTTACATGCTTGCTAACATTTTTAGATTATGTAAATAAATTATGCAGGAAATTGTAAGTTGGATAAATGAAAGTGTAAAATAGTGCAAAATTAATTTAGCGCTAAGTCTGGTTTGAAAGTTTTTGTGTGGGCATAGTTTTCTGTCCTGATGTGTTTTAAAATCTACTTGCCAATTAAAATAGAAGATTTGTCCAAGAAAATAAGATGCTCTGGTCACCAATCTGAGTTTTAAAATAAGAAATGTCAGCAACGTTTTTTCACTCTGAAAGTATGTATTTGGGATTTGTTTTTTTACTATTGAAGTCCATCTGTTTCGAAAGTCAAAAACTGCTCATATTTCTTTTTCACAAATGCCATATGGGAGATCCATCTCTCTCCTGTTGACTGTTAGTCCTGCTGGCCTTCAGTCCCTTGATCAATCTGTGCTGGTTATGGATGTCATGTTCCATGAATTGATGAGGAACAAGTTTTCACTGCAGATCTTCAAGTTTAGCATTGTATTGAATCAGATATATTATAAATAACTCTCATGAGACTTAATTTTGATACTGAATAGTGACCTCTCTATATATATGTGGGTGGAATATATATATTGGATTAGCATATATAGTATATCTTTAGATAGATAGTGGAATATTATGCTATTCCAAATTTGCCCTAATCGTGTGCTTCAAGGCTAAGATGCTGTTTTCCATGGATGAGATGTGGGTGTTTTTTTATTTCTTTCTTTTGTTGTTGTTTTCTATATTTTTTTCCAAGCTCTTTAAAAAAACTTATCTATATTCTTCAATGCTATATTTTTCTGTGCATAGGAATTTTTATAGGCTTTTTTTTTATTATTTATTTTTTAATTTTAGCTTTCATTTGTTCTGTTACCTATTTATGTTGTGTCATGGTAAATTCTGGAAACCTCAAAATGTGGATATTCTATATCAGCAACTCTCAGATAAATGTATTTCTGGTTAAATGTTTGTGAACATTTTGTTCAGTTTGGCATTTCAAAAAAGGAATGCTCAAGCTCTGGATTTAAATGTTACAAAAAGAAACCGGTGTTTGTTTGAACGTCAGCTTTTACTAAATTTCAGCCTATACTTTACACTCTCAAAGATCATTGTGGATTGTCTTTCTCAGTGATTACTTGTGAATACAGGCAGTCATTTTATGTTTCCTTGTTTTTAAGGCATTCAGCAAATGATGAAATGAAATCAGTATTTCCAACTCTTAATTTACTCAGTTTTATTTGGGTTTAAGTGATGTTTTATTCCCAGCGAACCTGATGTCAACAAGAAACTGCTCATTGTGAAGAGAAGTGGAATCGTGTCATTGAATAAGTAGTGATGTTATTTATGGCAGTGTGAATGATATGTAAGCAGCTTTTTGTAATGAAGCTTAACTGTTGAATGGGCCAACTTTTGGTCTTTCTGCCTCGCAGCTCAGGCAGCTGTTTGGAATGGAGTACCGAATTAGGCTGAATGATGTGGTGCTTGTTTTGGCCTCCTGAATTACCAGTCCTTTTAAGAACAATTATTTTTTTAATAGATGGTAGGCATTGGGCTGTTCCTGGTATGGTAGCTTTTTGCTTTGAATGAGGTGGTTTTCCATCAGCTATGTTCATGCTGGAGAGAAGCATGTGTTAAATGAGAATAACTAAAGGTGTCATTGAAGCAGATTGCTCAGATTTATCCTTTTGCTTTTTACAGTGTTTGTGGTGTGTTTTATATATAGCTTTTGTCTGAGTATTTTTTTTAAATGAGCATTATATAAGAATTTTCACAACAAATATGGTGAACTTTTAAAAAGGAAAACTTGTTTGAAACTTAATGTGGGGAAAAATGTTAACTTTCAAGAGTAGTGTGCTATGCTTACATATTGTGAATTAACCTCTTTCTTACATTTGTACTGTATTATGATATCATTACATTTGAGGTCTCATTAAGGTACACCATAGCTTTGCAAAACCTCCTGCTCCTTTGTAAGGTGTGTTGTATTAGCTTGGGACACAATGTTAACAAAGCATTTACATGAACTACAATGAAGTATCTAACTGATAATAACTTGAGTTGATGATGCTCAGGTGCTCAAGTTCACTTGCACTGATTCACTCTATTATTTCACTTTAAATTAAAAAATAATAATAATACCTTTTGTTTTAAAATATTGATGATAAAATGTTAAAAGGCAAATTTATTTATTGTAGCAATGATAGG